AATAGAGGGAAATTAGGTTGCAGGGGCTTGCAAGTGTGGGAGAGGAACCTGGACTTCATGTGGTAGATCATGGGGAACTGTTCTCAGTCCTGGAGCATGAAATGACACAATGAAAGTGGGATTAAGGAAGATTATATTGGTTTGCCAAGAGAACTGAATAGTGTCTGTATTTTTCTTTTCTTATGCTCTGTTTATTGGTCTGTTTCATTCTAAGTAGATTAAATACTGTATTAGTCAGAAAACCAGCTTATGTTATAGCCACAAATTAACCTGAAATCTCGGTGGCTAAATATGTAAGTGTATTTCTTACTTGCACTCCTTGGCCAGCACAGGTGGGTGGGGTATGAGGTGGGAAGTTCTCCATTTAGTCATTCAGGGATCTAGGCTAACAAAGTTCCCACCATTTAGAACATCTTTGGTCACTGTGGCAGGAAACAAGAGGGGAATGGAATATCTCTCACTGCTCTCTAACACTTCAGCCTGGAAGTGATATATGTCACTTTTGCCCCCAACCCATTGGCCAGAAGTAGTCACACATATTCCCCTAAGGGAATTTGAGGGTATTTCATCGACAGTGTCTCTTCTTTCCCAAGACTCTTTGAAGATCTGGATGGTATAACTTTACTTGTTTAAGAGAAATAATACAGTAATTAAGAGGGCAGACCCTGGAATTTGACTGCCAGGGTCTAGAGCCTGGCTTCCCCGCTTATAGCTGTGTGACTTTGGGCACCGTACTCAGTTTCTCTGGGACATAATTTCCTTGTCTGTAAAACAGGGATAGTAATGAGATGAGCCTCACAGAAATATTATGAGGCTTGAATGAGGTGTGTGTGTGTGTGTGTGTGTGTGTGTATGTAGAGACAGAGAGAGATGATATATATATGTATGCATATTACTCAGAGTATTATGCCATGTAACTGTTAGCAAGCATTTGTTGTTGTTGTTACTACTCTGCTGGCTTCCAGTATAGCATCTGAAAGGAAGGCTAGTTTCTGACTGTAGTTGAGGGGCTGGGGGAAAGACGCTGTAGTAAATTTAGGTGTGAGATGCCAGCATCTTTTCATCCCAGAAGAGATGGGCAAAGGAACATGCATAGAGGGACACTCAAGCAGCGGTCACTGGCTAGATCCCACAGATGACAGGAGGGCCATCAGGAGTGGGTGTCTGAGAAAATGAAGCTTGAGTTTGCAGAGAAATTGGAAGCCCTGCAGGAAAGAGGGTGCATGGAAGCCCTGATGTTCTGGTGGAGGATGCCGGAGCCACAGGAAGGCACACAAGGCGGTGGGGGGGAGAGCCATCTCTTAATGGACCTGCTTCTGTAAGCGGGGACATGCTTGTACGCAGAGTCAACCTCCAGGCATGGGGGTTGGATGCTGTGGATTTCATTCCTGACTCCACCTCTCCATGTGACCTGGCACTTGATGTCCCTCATCACCAAAATGGAGATAATAATTGTCCCCATCTCTTAGGGCAATGAGAAGTAAGTGAAATAAATAATGCCTGTCAAATGCTTGGAAACATGGCATGAAGGAAGGACTCAATAAGTGTCCTTTTTAGCTAATGGAGCTTTTATTTTAAAAGAAATTTAGGGATTATCTTTTAAATGACCATTTTCTCAGAGTTTGATCTAAACAGACCTACACTGGCAGGAGTTCTCACGAGTGCTTTTAGCCCTCCCTGGATTCGAAAGAATGGGCCGTGTTGTCACCAGATCAGCTTTTCAATTTTTCATTCTGCCCTGACCCTGAATGGTCAGTAGGCAAATGTTTTTAACTTTGCAAAGAATAACAAATTACAGTGGGCTAAAGAGTGATCAAAATAGACCATTTTAAAAACCAATTTAAGATCAGTGCTTCCCCTTTTAAAATTGTCTGGTACTTTTTACTGATTGGTAGGAGTCACTGCCCTTGCCTCTTGAAATATAAAATTATTTCCAAACAGAATGTATTCTGTATCTAGATTTAAATTGGCTTGTTGAGTAATCAGCTCTATTTTTTAATATGCCTAATTTAAATTCAGAGTCTTAGAGGATCACTGTCTTCAATTACACATATGCTCTAGTATATATACTTTAGTACATGTAATTAAGCATGTAAGGCATGTCTTTTCATTGAAAATTAAGAACTTCACAGATATTTCAGTAGAGCTTTAGAATTTTGTTGGTAATAGTACAAAACAGGTGCTATTCAGTTAGATGGATATTTGAGAATTTTTTGTGAGCCAGGCTGTATACCAGGTGCTGTGCACATAACAGATGGTATCCTTGTCTTCATGGAACTCACAGCCCAAACAAGTTTATAATCTACCTACTGCTGACTTTTTGTCCTATTTAGGAATTAGATGATCTCCTGGCATATAATAAAACAGTTAAGCCTTCTAATACTTTTTCAGGGTCTGTGTGATGCATTTCTGTCTACTTTGTGGCTAGGATATAGACTTAGGGTTACATTTCCAATGTTGCCTCTCATTTACCAGGTGCCTTTTCTGAACTTGGGTTTCTTTATAAAGTCTAAGTGATACTATGTGCTCATCCTGTTTCACAGGAATATGAAAAGGAAGACGTAAAGTATGGACTGTTTTGTAAATTATTGAGCTTGTGACGTATAACCAATATTATTTCTAACATCTAACATTTACTATTCTATACCATCTATACTATTCTATACTGTCATTGAAGAGTTGATGCATTTATACTGATTCAAACTAAATAGCTTTGAGGTTTTTTATTTTAAACTAACCAAATATCCTTTTAGGAAAAAAAAATTATGGAGAGATAAATATGATTAGCTGCTGTAAAACTGTCAGCTTTCCTAGATGAGTTTTTCTAGTTCGAGATGATAAAGTTGTTAATAACATATCACCTGATTCATACAGAAAATACTTACAGGTTTGTGATTTTCAAACAATGTGTTGTATATAAGGCCACTCCTTTGTTCTGTAGCAGAATACAAAAATTATACAGCACTGTCCCTGTTCTCCAAGTTTACCTACTCCATGAGGGAAATAAATGTAAAGCCAACTAATAATACAAGACAGTGGAAGGGTGCCCAGAGGCCGTGGGTAAACTATGGCTTCATGAATAAAATAGGCAATAAGGAGGGGCGCCTGGGTGGCGCAGTCGGTTAAGCGTCCGACTTCAGCCAGGTCACGATCTCGCTGGTTCAGGAGTTCAAGTCCCGGCCAGGGCTCTGGGCTGATGCCCTGGAGAGCCTGGAGCCTGGCCTGGCTCCCAGGCCCCCTCTGCCCCTCCCCCCTACCATGCTCCCCCCTGTCTCTCTCTGTCCCAAAAATAAATAAAAAACGTTGAAAAAAAAATTTAAAAAAAAATAGGCAATAAGGGCCTTTTGAAGGAGAGTGAATAGTTGAATTTGCCTGAGCACGGCAGGGGCAATTAAAAAATTTTTTTTTTTTTTTTAAGATTAGTTGGAGATAGGTTTAAAGTTTACCTTTTTGGCAATATGACTACTGATTGGGGAAAATCATTTATATGGATTTGCGGTATATTTGAGGCAGGAAGCAGAAAACTAAACAGATAAAAGAGTGTGGTATTTCTTGGCTGAGTGACATAGATGTTTACTTCCTTGTTTGAAGGATCTTAAGATCCTCAGCACAGAGAGGACTTTCTCATCTGCTGCAAAGCCGCCCGTCGGCTCATACATAAGCTGGTCTGTGCTCAAATGTTGTCACAGAATTTGTGCACCATACAGACGCTCTGAAGTTAAGGAGGCTTTGTTTCAGGTTTTCCTTCAGTTGCTTTCATAATTGTTTTGGGATCCAATGCAAATGACCGTGGAAGTGCCACCTTGCATAACATGTAGTCTTCTGCTCTTTCTTACACTTCACGTTTAGAGGTTTATGTGTGGAGTGAGGAAAAGGCCCTCACATCCTGACTTCCATCCATGTTGTCTCACCTGTCTCCATCAGCTGTTACAAAGATCAGTGCCTTCGGGGCGCCTGGGTGGCGCAGTCGGTTGAGCGTCCGACTTCAGCCAGGTCACGATCTCGCGGTCCGTGAGTTCGAGCCCCGCGTCGGGCTCTGGGCTGATGGCTCGGAGCCTGGAGCCTGTTTCCGATTCTGTGTCTCCCTCTCTCTCTGCCCCTCCCCCGTTCATGCTCTGTCTCTCTCTGTCCCAAAAGTAAATAAACGTTGAAAAAAAAAAATTAAAAAACAAAAAAACAAAGATCAGTGCCTTCTTTTAGTCAGAGGCTTCAAGGTCAGCAGCTCTTTGTGAAATTCACATAATACAAATCCGAAAGTACTCAGTAAATGGTGTAACCATAGAGATAAATTTTCTTACTGGATCAAAGTTGAAAATGAGTAAGATAAGAATTCAAAAGAAAAGATTTCCAGGATATAAAGCCTAATAAAAATTTTAAGCATGACTTATGATGTAGCATTTAATTTCTGTATGTTCCATTATCAAAATTGGTATCGTTACTAACATAAATACTGCATTGGGGCAACTTGAGGATTCAGTAAAACAAATTTGAGCCGGCAGACAGGGTGACTGCACTTGCAAAGGTCATGCTACTCATGCTCAGGTGTTTATGTGAGCAAATGTATAAGGTTGTAAAGAGTCCTGGGAGCTCTTCAAGTTTATAATTTTGCATTTCCCCCTATCTTATTTAGGCAAGCAGTAGCTATACCTCCTGCTGCTCATCCTTACCCTTTCTGGTAACCCAGACCATTGAAATGCAGAGGAGGGAACTACCAACCTATGAATAAAAGAGGAATGATCCCCTAAACCCAAGCATATTTGCAAGTTTTTTTATTCCCAACCAGAATTCAGCAAGTGGACACTCCTCTCAGTGTGTACCTCCACATAAAATCCTTGTCATATTCCTGAGCTGTGGACCCTTAGCTACTGGCTGCTTGGGAAGAGAGCTCAGTGCTCTTATCTGCCTCAGTCACCATCATTATAATGTTGCCATCCAAATCTATCCACTGCTAGTTCTATTCTCTCCTTAAGTAAGCATTGAAAGACACACTCTTAATTTTGTAGCATCCTGCTCTTTATTCCAAAAGAGTTCTTTGAAACAAAATTTTATGACTCAGAACAAAAGAAAAGAAAATGCTGATATTATCAAGGAGATTAAAGTCTAAGATTGAAAGAAGTGTGGGTCAAAGAAATATGTTAACAAAAAGAAACATGTTACAATATTGACATTTTTACACTGGCAATATACATTCCCACAGTCTTTTTTTCTTTTGCCAGATTATTGGTAGGAAATACTGATGTTTAAATTTGTCATTAACATAAAAAGCTTTTTATACTGAGAGATATTAAAATAACCTCCCTTTTGGTATAGTATTTTATTTACACATTAGAACTTTGCTTTATGTTGTTTTCTTGAGTATAAAAAATAATATATACCAGTTTACTTCCAATTTGGGGAGCTCATGCCCCATGAAAGGAATTTACAAGAATCCTAATTGGAAGTTGAACAATCATTTTGCTTTATAAGAAAAGTCCACCAAAGTTCATCATGCGGTCTCTTTGCTATAAACTCAAGACTTAATTCGTTTTTACTTTCCATTTAAAGACTTGGAATGTATCATTGTTTGAGTTTCTGTCATCTCACGTGAGTTTTCTTCAGGGGCTGACTTCACGGCACTGGAAATTGATACACTGACCTGACGCTTCAACATCTTCATAACCTTTCTCTTGTACCCTTTACATGCAAAGAAATATATGAAAGGGTCCATGCAGCAATTGAAGTTCATCAGACATACCGTAAAGTGCAGAGAAATCTGGAACGAATGTCTTTGGCTACATTCCAGTAAATCAGGAGACTGAAGCTTCTTAATCATGTGTTGAATAATTGCAACATGGTAAGGTGTGAAACAGAGAACAAACACAACAATTATAAAAATAATTGTGTTGAGAGCCTTTTTGTTTACACCAGATTTCTCAGTCAGTGGGTTTTGTTTGGCAGTTTTAAAGAGTTTGCAACAGATTTGAGAATAGCAGATGAGAATGACTAGGAGAGGGAGCACGTATCCTATGAAACACGCACCCAGCAGAATCCAGGGAAGAGATTTTGTTTCTTCAAAGTTCGGATACTCCATGCATGTAGTCCTTTCTTCCTCCTGCTTTGACATAGGTTTTATGAGCAGTGGGAGTGTTTGAGCGAATACTACAATCCAGACAAATATGCAAATGCCTTTTGCATGTTCAATTCTTTTCATCTTGTTGTATCGCAGAGGGTGCACCACAGCAAAGAACCGGTCAATGCTCAAGCAGGTCATGAAGTTCACACCTGCGTATGTGTTGATATAAAACACGAGAGCAGTTATCCTACACAAGGCCTCACCCATTCTCCAGTCAAAGCCCAGTGCATAGTAGGCTATCCGTGTAGGCAAAGCAGTGGTAAAAAGTATGTCAGAAATCACCAGATTTGTTGAATATAGGGTGGTAGAGTTGATTTTTTTCCTGTTTTGAACAATAACAACCAAGGCTAGCACATTTCCCACAAGCCCGATTATGAAGACAATGCTGTAATGCAGAGGCATTAGTATCCTGGCTGTGTTGTGGTGTGAATAGAGGTCACAGTCACTTTCCTGAGTTGCTGCAGAGGGTGTAGTAAAATTGGTGTCCATTTTTGTATCCATCATTGGTGTTCAAAGTCTCTAGAGAGAACCAGGGAGAGTACTTTTAATTAGAAGTGCATTTAACTAAAAGTAATATAAACTGCCTTTTATAGATCAAACTTTTAAAATTTGTGAAAATTTATAGAATTTTTTAAAATCTGTGATATTTTACACAGTAAAGGAAACCATCAACAAAACCTTAAAAAGGTAACCTAGTAAACTGGAGGAGATATTTGCAAATGATCTATCCAGTGAGGGGTTCGTATCCAAAATATATGAGGAACTTTTATGACTCAAAACAAAAATAATCTTGATTAAAAATGAGCAGAGTACCTGAATAGGCATTTTTCTAAAGAAGACCTACAAATGGCCGGCAGACACATGAAAAGATGTTCAACATCCCTAATCATCAGGGAAATGCAAATCAAAACCACAGTGAGGTATCACCTCACACCTGTCAGATGGCTAATATCAAAAAGACAAGAAATAACAAGTGTTGCCCTGGATGCAGAGAATAGGGAACCCTCTTGCATTGTTGGTGGGAATGTAAATTGGTTCAGCCACTGTGGAAAGCAGTATGGAGCTTCCTTAAAAAATCAAAAATGGAAATACCACGTGATTCACTAATTTCACTACCGGGTATTTAAAGAAAACAAAAACACATATTCAGAGAGTTAATATGTACCATTTTAGCATTATTTGTAATAGTCAGGATATGGAAGCAACCCAAGTGTCCATTGATAGGTCAGTAGATAACACACACACACACACACACACACACACGAATATTACTCAGCCATAGAAAGGAGATCTTACCATTTGCAACAACGTGGATGGATCTAGAGGGTATTATGCTAAGTAAGACAGAGAAAGACAAATACCAGATGATTTCTCTTATACATGGAGTCTAAAAAGCAAAACAAACCAAAAAAAAAAAGCAGGAACAGATCCATAAATACAGAGAATAAGCTGGTAGTTACCAGAGGAGAAATGAGTGGGAGGGAATAGGTGAACTAGATAAAGGGGATTATTAAGAAGCATACCTCCAGGGGCACCTGGGTGGCTCAGTTGGTTAAGCATCTGATTTCAGCTTAGGTCTTGATCTCACTGTGAGTTCAAGGCCCACATCAGGTTCTGTGCTGACAGCTCAGAACCTGGAGCCTGCTTCGGATTCTGTGTCTCCGTCTCTCGCTACCCCTCCCCCACTCACACTCTGTCTCTCCCTCTCAAAAAGAAACATTAAAATTTTTTTTTAATTTTTTTCTTTAAAATAAAAGAAGCACCCCTCCAAAAGAAAAAAAATCTATGAAATGTAATATGTTTACATATATAGTAACAAGAACAGAGAATAAAATTTATGTTTTTACTTACAATTCGGTGATTTTGGCAAAGCCCTGGCAAAGGAAATAAGAACCATCTAAATAGAGCAAGTGTATTTTTGTGACAAGAGGGAACATGCTAACTTTTTAGGCAGAAATTCCCTCCTGCCCCGCCTGTTTTCAGAATCATTGTCTGGTTAAGAACAAAATCGTGTGGCACCCCACATTTCAGATGGGAGCAAAACTTTGCTTTTAAATTGAACTTCAGTTGGATTTTTTTTTTTTTTCTAAATGCATATCACTGCCAGGAAATGAAATCAGTCACACATTTATTTAGTGAAATACGAACTTACCACAGTGATCTGATTTGTGTTAACCTAAAAAGTATGAGAAACAGGCTAAGGCCTTGTTAGGAACTGAAAGTTAGGGTTTCTTTTAAAAAAGAAGAAGATGATGACCACGACAACCACGACAAAAACGACGAAAAAGAAAGAAAAAACTGAAGCCATTTCAGGGGAAATGTTAAGATTAATTCTGAACTAGATCGTTCCACAAGTATGCCACTGATGCGTGCAGTGTGCGTTCCTACGTTTTGCGTGCTTGTAAGCATTACACGTTGTGGTGTCTTGTGCTCTGCTTTATTCACCTCACGTGTTCATGGATCAGTGTCATCTATTTGTCATGTGTAGATCTTACGTAGACATTTTATAGATATTTCTGCAGTATTCCAGTGTGTTAGTGCATAATTTGCTTAGCTATTTCCTTGATGCATAGTTGGGTTATTTCCAATTCTTTTCTTGTTATAAATAATGTTAAGACGAAATTTAAAGTCCTGCGTTGAAAAGTAGAAAACAATAATAAAACTCCTTATAGGAGGCTGAGCTTTGATAAAACTTAGGAAGAGCAGAGTAGTAAATTCTGTGATGTTATCTTTAGAAGAAAAATGATACTCTGATAGGACTATGTGCACAAATCTCATCTGAAAGTCACCAAAATTAAGGGAAAATGTCTATATATCTAGTGACGATGGTTTATGTTAAAAGAAAACAACTCTCTCCCTAGCCATATCAAAACACCAACTACTACTCTGACTGCTGTATTAAATGAACTGCATCTCTGCTAACTTACTTCTAACAGTCTTAAACAGTGATAGCAACAGACAGTGAGGGTTTTCAGAGCATTGCTCTAATGTTATAGGTGTGCGTTACATACAGTGTTGATAGGTTAATTGTTAAAATATGGAAATACAACCTAAAGTAAAAGGGAACAAAACTGGAAGTAGTACTTTCTGTTAATCAAGAAAATATAGGAAAAGAGACTATGAGAAAGAAATATAAATAGATTGAACTCACCTATTAAAAGAGACTATTGGTTTGGATTAAAAAAAAAAAATCCAGCTGTGTGCTGTTTAGAAGAGAGAGGGCTCAAAAAAGTGACTCAGAAAAGTTGAAAATAAAGATATGGGAAAACATGTATCAGGCAAATCCCAACCAGTAGAAAGCTAGAGTTAGCAATACTAACATCAGAAAAAAACAGAATTGAAGGCAAATTCAATATTAATAGGGATGAACAGGGTCACTACAGAAGTTAAAAAGAGGAGTTCACCCAGAATATAAAAACAATTTTGAACTGTGCATGTAACAGCAAAATTTAAAGGAGAAATTGGAGATTTTAACACATCTTCATTAGAATATGTCAGATAAAGATTAAAGACTTAAAAGATTTACCCAGTGAGACTTCACAGAATTTGTGCTGAAGGTACATGAACATTTTTTGCAAGTTTGTGTACTAGGTCATCACAGGACCTCAGAGCTTTTAGAAAATATGTTACCTAGCAGCTGACATTCCAGTGACTACAGTGCAACTAAATTAGAAATGAACAATACAGAGATAAAGGATACATTTAGAATCTAAAAAAGTATGTTTCTAAGGAACTCGTGGGTTAAGAAATCACTATAGGATTTTGAAGCAGTTAGAACAAAATGACTAAAATACTACATGCCAAACAATGGGATGCAGCTGAAGTGTTAATCTAAGATAGATGTAGAGCCTTGAATGCATTTATTTTATTTGCAGATTTTTTATTTTGAAATAATTTTTATTTGAGTATAATTAACGTAATGCTACATTAGTTTCAGGTGTACAGCATAGTGATTCAACATCTCTATATGCTTGTGTATGCATTTATTTTTTAATTGAATTTATTTAATTGAAAATAGATAAATATACAGTTCAGGAAGCTAGAAGAAAATTGTTTGCCCAAAGAAAGTAGAAGAAAGTAATAATAAAGATGATTACAGAAATTAATAAAATAGAAAACAAAACAAACACCTAATAAATAAGGAATTTCTGTTTTGTGCAGAAAAAAAAAATGGAGTGATTCTTGAAAGGGAAATCATGGGAATTGCAATTGTGGAATGAAAGTAGAAAAACCTTATCCAGTGAGTTGAGAAAGGCTTCTTGTGAGAAGTAACTTTTCAAGAACTGAGACTAGACATGGAGAGGTGAAAATTTCAGGCAGGGCTTGCGACTTGGGAACAGATAGCAAGAACTTCTTTTATTTTTGTACTTTCTGTGAATTTTTTTTTCTGAAAACCTCAATGTGTATGCTTTATTTTGAGGAATATTTCTCAACAGGTTCGGGAAATGCTTCTAAAACAAATATTAGGATAGAAATTCTCCATATGAATAAATGCCATTGTAGAGATTAGGAAAGTCACATTAACATAAGACTCAGAGAAGAATGTCCCATTGCTTGCCATGTTGTAAATGTGTGTCCAGTTTCTTTACTGAAGTATGGCACTTGGTAGAGCCAGAAATGGCAGGGGTTTCAGAACATCTGATGCTCAAGAATATTTAACACAGTGTTAATTATAAAGATGCACATTTGCAAGCCAATCAAATGTCCATCATCAGGACATTGGCTAAATATTTTATGGTATAGCCATAGAGTGGAAATGACATTGTGGATGCCTGTTTCTTGACAGGGAATAATGTTCAGTAAGGAAAGCAGATTATACAACATGCCACTTTGGAGGAAAAGCAATTATGTATACATACATGTACACACATCTGCATGGATATGTATGCCAGGACATAATTTTGTATAAGTAACTTTTGAATTTTATCCATAAACTCTTAAACTTTTGTTCTTTTTAAAAAATATTTATTTATTTATTTTGAGACAGAGCAGGAGAGGGGCAGAGAGAAAGAGAGAATCTCAAACAGGCTCTGCACTGTCAGCACAGAGCCCAGTGTGGGGCTCAACCTCATGAACCATGAGATCATGACCTGAGCAGAAATTAAGAGTTGGTTGCTCAACCAGCTGAGCCACCCAGGTGCCTGAATATGTGCTTAAATTTTTAATACTAAACATGAATTTAAATTTTTAATACTGAACATGAATTGACTGTGAAATGAGTAAATAGGCAAATAACTTCATGTGAGGAAAAACATTTTTTTAATTCAGTTCTTTCAAAAATCTTGTCATCTGACATACATTTCAAAGCTAGCCCTTTAGTGCCCTTTACTCAGATTGATGCATTAATTTTTATTAGGTGCCTACCTTTAAGTCCTATCTGGAAGAACATTTGTATTGACCCTTGTGGGCTAAGTACTGCTGTCTGCTCCCTACTTGCCATATGAGGAAAGCAAGTGCCATAGAGCTTAAAAGGTCATGCTAGATCCTTCTCTCTGGTGACCTGGCTTCAGGTCTCCTAC